AGAAAAACTTCTTGCACACGCCACTTTTGTGCAGCCTATTTTGTGATGTGGCATGAGTTAACAAGTTCATTTAATGCAAGAGGAAGTAACACAGTGCATGTTGCACAGAGGATCAGGATTGTGTTAATAAAAATGTACATCTATGATTTGGGGCGATCGCTAGTGTTTGTGGCTGCCTGCAATAAATAAAATATTATGAAAATAATCTAAGTCTAAATAGTTGTCATTATTTTTTGATCTATACAATGACCCATTCGGAGCGGCCCTTCTGGTATTTGCCCAATTTCCAGATGGCCAGTCCGTCACTGATTACAGATTGACATCCTTTCCTTTGTCTTTCCTCTCTTTCCTTTTTTGAAAACCAGATATTGGTTTACTTGGCAACATTGTGATCACTGTATTTCTGGCTCATCTACTGACTGCAACTAAGCACGTCACTGATCAGTGCGCTGAGGCAGGACCAAACCTTTTCATGCAGATACAGGGGGGGTGGTCGGTCAACTTCTCTTTCCCGAGCCACATTAACCAGCTCTGACTGGGGGGGCATCCTTACCAGATGCCCAAACCACCTCAACTGGCTCCTTTCAACGCAAAGGAGCAGCGGCTCTACTCTGAGCTCCTCGCGGATGGCCGAGCTTCTCACCCTATCTCTAAGGGAGACACCAGCCACCCGCCTGCGGAAACCCATTTCGGCCGCTTGTACCCGCAATCTCGTTCTTTCGGTCACAACCCAGCCTTCATGACCATAGGTGAGGGTAGGAGCGAAAATCGACCAGTAGATCGAGATCTCCTGCTCCAGTCTCCCCTCACTCGTGAACAAGACCCCGAGGTACTTGAACTCCTTCACTTGGGGTAAAGACTCATTCCCTACCTGGAGTTGGCACTCCACCAGTTTCCTGCTGAGAACCATGGCCACAGATTTAGAGGTGCTAATCCTCATCCCAACCGCTTCGCACTCGGCTGCGAACCGATCCAGTGAGAGCTGAAGGTCACGGACCGATGATGCCATCAGGACCACATCATCCGCAAAAAGCATCCCAAGCCCCCCGAACCGCAGCCCCTCCTCGCCACGACTACGCCTCGATATCCTGTCCATGAATATCACAAACAGGATAGGTGACAAAGCGCAGCCCTGGCGAAGGCCAACCCTCACCTGGAAAGATTCCGACTTACTGCCGAGTACTCGGACACAGCTCTCGCTTTGGATGTACAGCCCATACTCCCGCAGCACCTCCCACAGTATCTCCCGGGGGACCTGGTCATACGCCTTCTCCAGATCTACAAAGCACATGTAGACTGGATAGGCATACTCCCAAGCCCACTCCAGGATCCTTGTGAGAGTAAAGAGCTGGTCAGTTGTTCCACGACCGGGACGAAAACCGCATTGTTCCTCTTCAATCTGAGGTTCGACAATCGGCCGAACCCTCCGTTCCAGCACCCTGGAATAGGCTGAGAAGTGTGATACCCCTGTAATTGGCACACACTCTTTGGTCCCCCTTTTTGAACAGGGGAACCACCACCCCAGTCTGCCACTCTTTAGGGCACTGTACCCGACTTCCACGCAATGTTAAAGAGACGTGTCATCCAAGACAGCCCCTCCACACCCAAAGCTTTTAGCATTTCTGGGCGGATCTCATCAATCCCTGGGGCTTTGCCACTGTGGAGTTGTTTGACTACCTCAGTGACTTCCACCAGGGAAATTCATCAGCCTCAAGCTCTGCCTCTACTAAAGAGGGCGTGTCAGTCGGATTTAGGAGTTCCTCAAAGTGTTCCTTCCACCGCCCAATTACCTCCCCAGTTGAGGTCAGCAGGGTCCCATCCTAACTGTACACAGCTTGGACGGTTCCCCGCTTCCCCCTCCTGAGATGGCGGACAGTTCTCCAGAAACACTTTGGTGCCGACCGAAAATCCTTCTCCATGTCTTTTCTGAACTTCTCCCACACCCGCTGCTTTCCATCTGCCACAGCAGAGGCTGCAGCCCTTCGGGCCCGTCGGTACCTTGCAACCGCCTCCGGAGTCCTCCGAGACAACAAATCTCGGAAGGCCTCCTTCAGTCGGACGGCTTCCCTGACCACCGGTGTCCACCACGGTGTTCGGGGGTTACCGCCCCTTGAGGCACCTAAGACCTTGAGACCACAGCTCTCCGCTGCAGCTTCAGCAATAGAGGTTTTGAACATTGCCCACTCCTGTTCAATGTCCCCAACCTCCACAGAGATGCCAGAAAAGCTCCGCTGGAGGTTTGAGTTGAAGATCTCACGGACAGGGGCCTCCTCCAGACGTTCCCAGTTCACCCGCACTACCCGTTTGGGCTTACCAGGTCTGTCCAGAGTCTTCCCCCACCCCCTGACCCAACTCACCACCAGATGGTGATCAGTTGACAGCTCTGCCCCTCTGCCAAAAACAATTAATTTATTATTATATTTGAAATATATGTATAATAAATGATGATTTATTTAATGTATAATATAATATTATTTTATTATTTTGGGGGCTAAATTTTCCCCCTTATAGGGTGCCCCTGCCAAAGAAGGCTATTTAATTACACTGATTGCTGTTACTGCACTGTAGATTGGTTCACTCAGAGTGTGATTTTGCTCTGTTTGGCTGCATTCAAACATGTATGCGTAAGCTATGGATAAGGATCCTATTTAAAGTGGCTACTGTCTGGATTTAATAACCTGATGGTGGAATGAGTAAAATATTTGGAGTAATGATATGTATGGATGCTGTGTGTATCTGTGGGTATATGGTCATGTATAGACTAGAAATTTAAGCAACATCTATATTTTTTTTATTATTACAGCCAATAAATGCAGAAAGTTAAGTTGGTTAGAGTATAGCAAATATAATAAATAATTTAGTTTAGGCTATTCCTCGGTGCCTAGATCTGCCAAAAAATGTCTGTTGTTAGAATTAAACAAAACGATTATACTTCTTCACATTGTGTTGATAAGGTCAGTTACATTTTTTAATGTGTTAAAATAAATTATGTCTATCTTACACATTGTACCTTTGAGTACAGTCCTTCATGACTGCTTATGTACTGTTAACGTGGCCCATAGTTTGGTAGTTCATCATGTGTTTAGAAATGGTGAAATGTACCTATAGTGAACTTACATTTATGAATTATGATTGAATTGATGAATTATTGTAAATATATATCGATGGTTTCCAGTTAGCGCTCCCCTCAGCGTTTGGAAAGGAACTGAGAAACTTTAGGAAATATATTATGAATCACTTTATTAATCAATCTGATATCTAAGGTGGATGTTCTTAAATCAGGGATTCAAACTCTGTTAAGTAGTACATACAACAACTAAGTGATATGGTGAATATTTATTCCTAAACTACAGTGAATACAAGTGAATAAAATGAAGTAATGGACAGCAATACTGTAAATACAACAATTGCCAGTGTGAACGGATATAATATCAAACAAGACTGCTTTCAAATCATAAGGGGAAACAGACGGACGCAAGTTATGGGTAAATATATAAAGGAGATTAGAATTTAATGTACGATTCACAGCTCATTTTGACTGTGGATTGTTCCAAGGGTACACACTCACAGCAAACGGCTGCTAAAAGTCATTACAAACTGTCTCTTAACAGTTTCGTTAGCAGTCCATGAATCAAAGATGGATGTCTGATGTCAGCTCTTTCTACTGGATGGGTAGCAGACGCGACAGCAAGAATACAAAAACATTTCAAAATAAGATACTCAAAACATACACAATAAAAGGCCAGGAAAACTGTAAACGAAAAACAAAACTTTGAAGACAAAAAAAATGGAGAATTAAAGAGATCTCAAGAACTGTGTGTTCTCAGGCGCAAGTTTGGCTGATGTGACCATATCTCCTTTCATGCTAATCAAACACACCAATTATAACAGTTAAACATTCTGAGGCTTTCTAGACAATACACATGTAAATAAATAACATATTTCATTAACTAAAATATTCTTAAACAAAACAGTTCTACATATAATTAGGCTTATCAAACATAATTCCTAGCGATCAAAAAAGATAATGAAAAAGCTTAATTAGGCAGGTTAATATAAAACACAGATTAAAGTCTTAAGTGCAAGATAATAGGAGAAATTGGGAGGAACTCTTCATCATAAAGAAATTTCACCACTTAACATCCCTAACTACCTCCTTGGGGTCAAATGCCCAATCCTAAATGGCTAAATGCATTTCTGATTTAGACTTTTAGTTTTAGACTTTTAGTTTTTAGTTTTAATTCTTCTATTAAGCTCAGACTAAGCTCAAACACTTTACAGGTGGTAGAATGTGTCCAACTTGACAGCAGTGTTTTGAAACCCCACCCCTGCAGTTTGACTATGAAGTTGGCAAAAGTCAGCCGCAGTCATCTCCAACGCAACAGTTGATTAACACATTCAGCAGATATAAGGGAATCATCAGCATTCATTTGTTGTGTTTATGTCCACCTGATGAAAGTAAGTCAAAAATTCACGCTCTTTTTAGCTCAGTTGTAGTTTTTGGTCTCTACAAACTCCTGAGGGAAATAATTGGCTCTCTAGCTGCTAAGTGCTCCATTATATTCACCAGCTAGTCGCTAACTGTGTCTGTCAAAAGTAATGAATTAGAATTGTTGGCTACAAAATTCAAATAATGAGCTTAAAGAAGCTAAAAAAGCCCCACGGACCTGAGGGGAACTGCAGAGTTGGTTGATAATTCACTGTCACTATGCCCGACACTATCCACTTCACACAGTCATTTCATCCATTCTTAATTTAAAAATACTGATCAGAGCTTCTTTAATTTAGAGTTACACTCAGTTTATCAAAAGAGTTTTTCTCAGATTGTTTGATATGAATGCTTTAGAGGCACTGAGAAGGATCCAGTATTTCACAAGGTAAAACAACTGAAAAAAGTATTAAAAATTAAACATTATTTGTGTAACTGATATAAGATATAGATATATATTTTTTAAAATCTTTCTTGCAATTGTCTTGTTTTAAACAAGCCTGTTGTGGAATTATTATTATATTTTTCATTTTATTTGTTCATTTAAAGAACATAGAAAAAGACAAACTTAAAGAAGAAACTGCAGCACTAACAGAATTGGCTAAATGTGACGAGTAAATTACATTTTATCAAAATACATTTCAGTTATGTTGCAGAATGTGTTGGTAATGTCTGTGAAAAGCTATACAGGCTTTAAGACAAAAAGGTTAAGTTGTTAAATAAAGAATCTCATTATTTCTAAGGACTCTTTACCCCTATGGTAATGTTCACTTTCTGCCTGTGAGCCCCGGTGAATAGTGCAAAGCATGTCAGAGGTTTTCCATGATCATTGGCTGTTGCTTTGAATGTCAGTGTAGAGACAGTCCTCCACTGAGCATGTCCAATCTTGCCAGATTCAGTGATAGCTTGCATGCTACCATAGTTCCATGTGAGAGTTGGTAAATGTTTTGGGCATGTGTACAAGGCAGTGCAGGTTACTTCTTGTGCCTGTCCCTCAAGAAACTCATCTGATGTAGACTGGATAGTCAAGGATGAAATGGTGCCTGAAATACAAATGTTAAAATATAAATGTTAAAATAGGTCATCATAAAAGAACAACTTGCATGTCCATCACATATACGTACATTCTGCAGTTAAGGTTTTAGAGGCTGTTGCACTGAGACCACCACTGTGTTTGACAGAGCACTCAACATTTTGGTGTTCGTTCTCAATGCATAATGTGGTCGTCAAGGATGTGTTGGATGTGCCATCTATGTTCCGGGTATGAGTTATTTTGTCGTCTTGCAGTGGGATGTTAAGACTCAGAGTGGGTGCTGTAGTGGGACAGGTATGAAAAACAGTGCATAGCACTGTCACGCACTGTCCAACAATCATGTTTCCAAAGGTCGTAATATCCGGTTTCTCTGCTGTTCCTTTACAAAGGAAATGTAAAGAATTATTGATGACACATGAATATACATCGATCTACTATGTATATTTTCCTAAGATCACCATAATGACTTACCCACTACATTATTACAGTTGTATCAAAGAATCGGTAGGTGCTTGTCCCAACATTCTCTGGATCTACCCAGGGGTAAATCTTCAGTCTGTGGTGAGACCAGCTCACTGGGGAGATTTGAAGACTGCATGTCATGCTGTCTGTGGAAGTCAATACACGTGTTTTTCCTTTAAAAATGGAAATGACATAGTCCGGATACCAGTCGTCATGTACTAATGGATATCAACTTCTCACATACTGGTACCAAACCACACGTTCTGGATTTTGAGGTGGATACTGATAGTAGCCAAAACTACAAGGGATGACAAGGCAGGAACCCAGCAATCCTTTGATGTTGCTTGGCATCTTTACATACCAAGTGTTGGAACTGCAGAAAAGGTATCCTGCAAGAGGACCAATATGCAAAAGAGAAAACTTGAATTTTGTTTTTAAAAGAAGTGTTTATCAGAAATTGAATAGTACCAAAGAGCAGTACCTAAAATGCAGAAGGTCAGGAGAAAATTGCTCAATCCAGACATCTCATGAATGGTACCACACACCTGAAATATATGCAAAAGGAACATCTTAGTATTAGGCATTACAAAGTATTAAGAAATTAACAAAAGGAGGACAACAGAATACATCTTTTTTCATATTTATCAGATGAAAAATACAATTTTACTATATAACAATATTTCAAAGTCAGATCTAACCTATAGTTCCAATGTTTAAGGGTAACTCAAGCAATGTAATTTGAATTTCCATAAAGTTGTGAGGCTTGCATAATAGAGATTCACAGACTTACAAAAGTAAAAAAAAAAAAAAAAATCACTGTATTGCACTGATTGCTTATCTGTCCTCTTTGATTGTATTACATCTACATTTATTCATTTAGCTGACGCTTTAATCGAAAGCGACTTTTTTGCTATATATGTCAGAGGTCACACGCCTCTGGAGCATCTAGGGGTTAAGAGTCTTGCTTATTAGTCTAATAAACTTCCCATTAGATCATTAAATTCTTTCAGACTATTAAGAACAACAATATCTCTCTTCTGTGAAACATTGAACATGTATACACCATCAGTAGCCCTCTATGCTAACAGGGTTGCACCAAGCTGTGCTAACGATGTAAATGTAAATGTAAATGCTCTGTACTTGTATAGCGCCCTTCTAGTCTTTTTGACCTCTCAAAGTGCTTTTACACTACATCTGCATTTACCAGTCACACACATTCATACACTGAGCCTAAGTGCTCAAACAGAAACTAACATTCACACACATTCATATGTAAATCGGGGTTCAGTATCTTGCCCAAGGACACTTCGACACGCAACCAGGGGGAGCCAGGGATTGAACAGCCAACCCGCTCTATCTCCTGAGCCCCCTTGTGCTAACTTGCTGGTTTTTAAACCAGCATGCACAGAAGTCAACAGTTTTGCAATGTTAACGTTAAACTTGCCATATGGGCAATGTAACGTTAACTTAAAGTCCAAGCTGCCTTCAACTCCTCTGCTGCCAGTCTGTCTGAAGCCAGTGATGTTCCTCATGCCGCTCCAGACCTCCCTCATGTTGTTCTGCTGGAGTTTACACTCCAGCTTCCTCCTGTACTTCTCCTTAGCCTCCCTGATCTTCACCTTCAGGTCCCCCTGAATGGCCCTCACCTCCTCCCTTTTCCCGTCTCTGAAAGCCCTCCTCTTTGCATTCAGGATGTCCTTGATATGCCTTGCACAGTTTGTTGTTTGGGTAACAATGGACAGTTTTTGCTGGGACAGTGCAGTCCACACAGAAGTTGATGTAGTATGTGATGCACTCAGTAAGGCCATGAGGAGGTGGGGGGTATCGGTATGCATCCTCAACGTTAGCATACAGCAGGTCCAGGGTCATCCCCTGTTTATAATGTTATGGCAGAAAATTGTGTTTACATTTTATCTTTTTATGTACGATCTTTTAATAGATCTTTTAATATTATTATTACTATTGTCATTATGGCTTATAGATACATGTATTGTGTTTTTATCCTTAACCTTTCCTCTCCTATAGTACTTATGTTAGTCTGTCCACATTTACTAGGGTTTACTTCAGAGCTGTGAGATTGTTTTGGTGTTCTCCCTCTCTTGTCGTTCCTCTCCTCTCCCTAAATGTTCATTCAAGGCCGAGAGAGCTTTCCAGCATCTTCCAGTATCTTCAACCAAGTCCAGTTGCCCTTGATTTTAACCCTCGTTGGATAACTATGACCTGGATGACTGAGAATCATCATAGACAAGGCCGAGAGGGGATCTCTGTTCGCCAAAACATAGAAACCTAGACTGTGTGAATGATGAGGGCCCCTTTGCTCGGGGCCAGACGCCCGAAGCCGCCCTGGGTAGCAAGTATCTGGACCAGCTGTATATATCTGTGTTTCAGTACTTCTGTTTATTCTCTTTTGTTAAATAAATTCTTCAAAGACAACGGTTGGTTGTAACTCAATTCTTTGCTCAACCCCTCACCAGGATATAATTTCCACGACATAGAACAGCGCTACAAATCCAGCACAAAACAAAGCAATCAGCTGACCAGAGTCGAGAATAGAATACAGAACCAGGTCACAATGAGTTGGTCATTTGTCACATGAAATACATTACTTAAAAAATAAAAATAGCCCTCATCACTTCTCCTCCAAATATGCCCGAAACATTCATGACCATACCAACCCACCCAATTTACCTGGGAGACTCCCGTTTTTCATTGCCCTCCCCCGGTTCCTCCTGGGTCACAGTAGTATGCAGGGGCGGTGCAAGACATTGTATAGATTTGGGACTTAGACCACCCCTCATGCTGTTTGAGATGATAGAATGCCTAAAAATCTATACACTATCTGGGAAAAAGATGATTGTTGATTTGAAAAATAATCGTCTCCAACTCTAGTTAATCTAAAACACAACAAATGTTGAGGAACATTCATTTTCACTCCTGGCAACTAAAAAGAGACGTAACTTATCTGATGTAACTTTTTTAAAGTTACATAAACAAGGTATAGTAGAAATATGGTGTTATAATATACAGTTTCTCGTCATCATTGAAGGAGGGAATCTCTAAGCACCTCACGATTCGATTATGATTTATAGGGCTGATAGAGAGAAACAAACAAACGACAACACCGTAATAAACTCTCTGTTAAAAATAGTGCTGTTCACTGATTGGCCATGGGATGTGTAAACGTCAATTTATGCGACTATGTTTTGATTAGTATGGGCTTTATGTCAGAGTAGCTAAGATGAACCTTGCGTCTCTGTGGTGCAACCAAACATCGACACAGCTTAAGTCTCAAACTAACTAGTTACATTTAGTCATTTGGCAGACGCTTTTATCCAAAGCAACTTACATTTGAGGAACAACATACAAGCATCAACAGAGCATCAACTACAGATCTACAACTGACAATACATACTAGTAAGAGCTCACAGTACATATCACATCAATGGGGTAGATTCCTAGGGAAGGGAGTTAAAAAAAGTGCAATCAAACAAGATCATTGTAGGAGATAGAAGAAGAAGAAGAGCACAGGAAGTGCATGTTAGAGGTTAGGAGGTAGAGGTGTTATAAGAGGAAGTGTTCTCTAAGAAGAAGAGAGGGACGCCCCTGCTCTGATTGCGTGTGGTAGCTCGTTCCACCATCGTGGTGTCACAGATGAGAATAGTCGGGACTGGGATTGAGTAGCGATTTGTAAAGACAGATTTTGTGTTGAGGAAGTGTATCATTTCTGTCTAAGCCCTCATGTCGTGGAAGTGGATTGAGAGGCTATTTGTGTGTAAACAGGGTCTGTGTTGAGGAAGTGCATCAGACAAGTCCATTTGAAAACCTAGGTAATGTAAATTAAGTCAGGGGCCGGCAGGAGATAGGAGTCAGAGACGTACGTGCATGTAAACATTGCTGAAAATATAGTTGATAGCTGTGTGTTAAGAAAAAGTGCATATTAATGTTACCAAGGCCTAAAATAATAATACTAAGAGTTTGAGTCTTGAAGCTTCATGTTTAAGACCATTAGATAAAAAGTATAAAATAATGACAGTTGAATAACTGATCTAATATTAAATTAACATAAAGCTTAAGGATAACAGATGAATAGAGTTGATATGGTGATATAAAAAAAGTATAAGAAGTTGATGGAAGGAGTTATAAAGTAATAAATATATGAATATATATTGATGAAATAGTGAATGTGGACTAGTATAGTGTAAAAGTCTCAGATTGAATTGTGATAAAGCTATGTGCAAAATAAAGTTCTGAAGTGGCAGTCCACGCCCGAATAATGGAGACTGGAAGAGAAAAGAGAAAAAAAGGAGTTTGCTCACGCTAGCAGAGAGGCTCAGAGCAGGAGCTGAGGAGTGTCCATGTGGGGGAGGACAGCAGGCTGAGAGAGAGAAAAAGAGTTCAGCCCTAAACCAAAAGTTATATGAGAGTTTTGTGATCTGTTGCACCTTTATAGTATAACAACAGCACGTTATAGCAAGTTATCATGAGTTAATAATAACAGAAGTTACAACCAATAACAGCTTGACAGTAAGCAGATTAGTAAAAGAACGGCAATGACTGCTGGATACAGAAAAGAAAAGTGTAGCTGAAGACACTTTTTGGTCGAGGAGAAGGAACAAAACTAGAAAAATGATGACATCTGATAAAGTTTGCAAATTTATTGAACATAGAAGTACAGATTGATAGGCAGCAATGTGAGGTGTTATCTATGAAGGATTTAAGTTAGAGAAGGGATTGAGAGCCATCAATTTTGTATTAGATGTGAGAAAATCAATTTGATATTTTAATAGTTGTTAGTTTCACTGATGTTAGTTATTTTTAATAAACTCTACTTTGATGATTTTTCAGTTGAATAGCTCTTTGATATAAAAACAAGGGGAGCTGCCTGAGTTTCTTTCAATGAATTGTTTCATTCTAGTTTCTTGGTTGTGTGGCTTGAAAATTAACTGTCTTTTTTTTTCCTTTCGAGGCATGAAGGCCGTCCAAATTCCAAAGTTTCCAGAGAGTAAGTGTTTGCCGCAGTGAGTGTGCGATGGCTGTCCTGGGAGGCACACAGCAGGTGAAATTAAATGGTAAAGAGCAGAAAAAAGAAATATTAGCTGCAAAGGTGGTCAAAGGAGCTGTGGCAGCAACATATGTGGTAACAGCACAACTAAGTAGTTAAAGATAAAAGACGTCAGATAAGAGATAGAGAAAGCTCAGAATGAAGGGAAAATAGGGAGAAACAGTTTGACCAACAGTTAGATAATATTGACATACTATATAGCCTTTAGTGAAGGAAAAGTAGTCACAGAGACAGAATAATGAAAGAGCCCATCCTGTTAGATAAGGTCTAAATAGATATACCCCCCCGGATGAAGAAACGTATACAGCAAGTGGAAGAAAGATATAAGTAAGTGCATTTAAGGGCCAGTACAGGCAGAAGAAGAAGAAAAAAGAATTAGGGTCTTTAAAGGGTTGAGTTCAGATATAAAGGAGAGATGGAAAAAGAGAGGCTATAATAGAAAGGGAGGAGACGAGAGCTAGATATGAATAGAAAGAAAAACAACTCCCAAACAAAGTGAAAAGTTCGTCATAGCACAGATCTCAGAAAGACAAAAGATCTGGCTACAGACCGAGGCACCTGCAGAGCTCAACAAACCATGAGACAAGACGACAGCGAGACAGAGCTGCACTGGACAAGATGGCAGCTCTGGAGTTTCATGAAGAAGGCGAGAGAGCAGCTTCAAAATGGACACAGCAGAATCTGACTGTGAGGAAGAGAGGGAGGTGATACAGGAGGCGTTCCACAGAGAGGCGTGTCAACCTGATGCATCACAGGCCCAAGCCCACCTCCACTGACGTCAGCATCTTCCCAACGCTGAGGACGCAGCGAGTCAGACCACATCTACAGTCCAATCATAAAGAGGACAACACCACCTTAAAGACTGTGAACCTAACAGCACAAAGTTTAAAAAGGTCAAGAAGGTTTAACTGTGAAAATGAACTTCAGCCAAAATGCACATGTGACCGAGTGCTGACAGAGACATCACCAAGGAAGAGCTCTCTGTCTCACATGATCAACATTACAAATGGTCAGACTATCAGAGGCCCAAGATATGTCATTAATAATTGATTCATTAACACAAATATACTAAGTTAATAACTTTGGTGTCCTGCTCTCCTCCAGCAGCCACCTGATACTAAATTTCAGCAAAAAGGGATCAGAACATCAGGCATTCCTTGTGTTTTTAAACAGAGTTTTTAGAAAAAAGGGATCTAGTGGGATTATTTTTATATTATAGCTGTTAGAGATCACTGTCTGCTCTGGGTTTGTGCAGAGGAACAGCCAGCGCAGAGCTCCTCGGATGTAGCAAATACAATGACAGGCAACCTTTCAGGCGTGATTTTAAAGAGGCCGAAAGGAGAAGCCTCATTAAAGCCTTTATAAAGCAATTTCAGCAGCACATTGCTACTGCATGCTTAAATTTGATGATTGTGAGTCTTAAATCATAACTGATCTTTGTCATGTATTCCACAGGAACAACCAAGCAACTGTAATGATAACCTGAGACACACGTGTGATGCTGAACACCTGAGTTAATCTATGTTCTTTCTGTTTTTGTTGAACATCTGTGTTAATCTATGTTTTCTTTCTGTTTTTGGAGGTAGTATTAGTAAACTAGTCTGAAGTATGGAAGAATTGTAGTGCACTAATGGATAATGGAGTGTTTCAAGATTTACTATTTGTACGTCCAATAGCAATGTAATTCAATACACAGATATACAGGATGTTAGAGGGGTTAAATTGCAAGCAAATATAATATCTAGGAAGCAAACTCATGTTGAAAAAGATTAGACAGATAGAAACAATAGTTAAAGTCTCCAAACTACAAACAGTAGGATAAAGCTCACTTATTGGTAATAGTAACAAGTACAGTTGCAAGAAAGCTTAATAATCCTTCACAGCCAGTCAAAGACCAGAGGAGGCCACTCTCCTATGAGGCCTCGTGAGGCAGACACAGCAGCAGGCAAGAATTCCTTTAATATTATTATTTTGTCTGATCGCAGCTGCTAGTGGTTCTATAAAAATAGCAAATAGCGAGGGAGAGAGTGGGCAACCCTGCCTGGTACCCCTCTGGAGACTAAAGCATGGAGAAGTATGATCATTTGTTTTGACAGAAGCTCTTGGGGAACTGTATAAGATTTTAATCCAATCTATGAAAGAGTTTCCAAATCCAAATTTATATAAAGTAGCGAATAGAAATTTCCAATTTACTCTGTCAAATGCTTTCTCTGCATCTAAAGAAACAACTATAGTTTCCAGGTTATGAATAGTGGCATAGTCTATTACGTTAAGTAGCCTGCGTGTATTGTTGGTGGAGTGCCTGCCCTTAATAAATCCTGTTTGGTCAGAGTGTATTATACCAGGAGTGACCTTCTCTAGCCTTCTTGCTAGGGTTTTGCAGATGATTTTAAGATCTGCGTTAATAAGTGATATTGGGCGATAACTGGACGGGAGTGTGGGGTCTTTGTCTGGTTTAAGGAGCAGGCTGATATTAGCAGAATTCATTGTTGGAGGCAACATGCAAGTACCCCTAATTTGCATAACCATCCTATAGAATGTGGGCAAGTATTTCCCAGAATTCCTTATAGAGTTCAGCGGGAAAACCATCTGGCCCAGGGGCTTTATTATTCGGCATATGTAAGAGAGCTTCCTGGAGTTCAGCCATTGAAACAGGTGAATCCAGAGCCCTGATCTGTTCATCATCTAACCTTGGCAAATCTATATTGTTCA